ATGTTGTGGGAGCCTGCCTGGTTATTATTTCCAATTCGTGATCCATATGATTTCAATTTTTTATTAATATATAAAATTGTCCAACTTCAAGATGAACGTGTGCGCATACACACAGACACAAACATATATATGCACACACGTTCATCTTGAAGTTGGACAATTTTTGTAAACCTGTTGATGCTTAAAGCATTTATGCATTAGTTGCTCATCACATGTTTCTGATGTTTAAAACTTATAATAAAATCTTAAGAAATTTTATTATTGTTGATTCTTGTATGTATAGGATATTCTATATACTCCATGCAAATTCATTTGAAATTTTTAATTGTACTCGTTTTGTGAGGAAAAAAGCACTACAAATTATATCGCTTGATTTGATTTTTTTATTTATAAAAATTAAAAGATAAATAACTCAATATGTCTTTATATAATAGTTTGAGTCTTCAATCTGTTTCTACATCTCTAATTATATTTATAATGTTTAAGAATAATATATAAATTTTCAATCAATTATTTTGATAAATTTTTCGACAATAGAAAAATTGTTTGACCAAAATATGCTAGACTGAAATGCCAAAAAAAAAAAAAAAAAAAAACCTTAAAGCTACACAATTTGCATGTTTTATTTTTAAAGCATATATGTATATATGTCTTGCATTTCAGTCAATTTTTTTTATGATCAGAAAAACCAAACAAAAAAACAAATTGAAGATTTAAATATTATTAAAAAATATAATATATATAATTAAAAATGCAGGAACGGATTGCAAACTTAAACCTTATGTAAGATAAATTGAGCTATTTACCCAAAATTCAATTGAAAAATAGTCTAAAAAAATGGAGATTACATGCGTTGTTCTTTTTTTATGTTCAGCAAAAAAATGTGCAATATAGACCTTAAAATGGATAAATTAGAGATTATAATGCAATCTTATAAAATAATCTACAATAAACAAAAATAATGTACAAATTATAAAAATAATTTTGAAAAAAAAATTAAAGACCAAAGGTAAAAAAATTATAATGTTGCAATAAGTTTTTTTTCTTAAATATAATTTCAATTCGTTTAGTGATAAAAAAATAAGAAGAAAAAATAACTAACAAGAGTCAACAAGGTCAAATGATACATTTTGGTTGATTCTGCAGTTTATGTAATGCCGCTAATGAAATCACTTACGAAAAATTCATAATAACTAAATTAACACAAATTGATTCAATATAAAAATTCAATTAACATTTAACTCGGTACAAAAATCTAATTGATCAATTACTTAAATTACAATGACCGTACGAATCATTAACCCCTGTATAAAAGAGAGAGTCTCAGGTTTTCGGAAGCCTGGGTTAACACACTGTAGCTGTCTGATTCAGTAGCTAACATTGCCGAAATGTGCAAGGGGCGACATTCTTCCTTGATTCAACACCGTTTCTAATGCAGTCACGTTGTGCTATACTTATCCGGGAGTACACCATGGTTAAATGCAAATGTAATTTGGCTGGCATATGAATAGTCTTCGCATATTTTGATACAAAACTGCAGTGCAGACAGAAACTTTGATGCTAACGTTTTCAGCAGTCATACAGATAGAGCGGCTTTCATCTTAGCCATAATTGAATTTTGATGGTGATGGTTTTGTCAAGTATGGATCCAGTAATTAAGAAGATGGAATATCATAGTCCGATGTAATATGTAAACTTTGGACCGTTGTAGCTGCGAAAATGAAACTTCTTCTTGGCCTGAATAGAGAATACAAAACTTTTTTGTTAGATAGACGGAGCAACTGTTACAGAGTACGTAATAGGTTAGATAGACGTAACTAGTACTTCACCAAGGAAATACACAAAAAAGTCTAAAAAATCTATGTTGAGAGCTGCCGTTAGTACATTTCCAACGACGGCCCTCCATAGGCTTAACTATTTTTTTTTTCATTTAGACTTATATTCTATAAATTTTATAAATTTTGCATGTCGAGAATATGATGACAAAATTTATAAAGATAGCTCTCAAATGGTGTGATTTTTTAAACCATCAGAACAATCAAAGATCTCATTCATTATAGGTATACAATTTTTATAGATTTTGTATGATCTATATGCATATACGAGGTCACTTAAATTTGCAAATTTTTGACATATTTCTTTTTTTTTTATTTTTTTTGTTGATTTCTGAATACAAAGATATCAAAATAGACTACATTTTGATTTTTTTTTACTCATTTATTTGATATTTTAAAAATAAATTAGTTGAACTTATCATTCAAGATAACGAAATAATTGTTACATTATTCGTACGTGTTGCTACTCATGTGAAAAGGAATTTCATATGTGACCTTGTTTCTTATGCACAAAATTAATGTTTCATTGTATTTATTATTTTGTATTAGACTATATAAATGCAATGAATTATATTTATATTGTCTAATTCTATTTGAGCCTAATTAATAATATGATTTTATTATCTGTTAAAAAAAATAGTTCACCAAGAATGCATTTTAGTTAGATTGCTTTTATTACTTTTGGTTGGATAATAATTTGTGATATTTTTCACAATTCACATGTTACTATCTACTTATTTTTATCATTTCACTTTAAACCTTTTTTTTTTTTTTCAGTTAAAAAAAACAAGAAGGAAAATTCCACCGCACTTTTATAATCTTATCTGGAATTGGACCATACGATTGAATAGCCCAAGATAGAAGCTAAAAAGCCTAATTGGAGCCGAGCGAGCCCAAGAAACTATGCCATTCTATTTCACAAACGTGGAAAAGATCTCTTTTCGTACTAAAAGACGCTTTGGATTATGCTGACCCAATCCCATTCACTTGCTGCCAACTCCTAACAAAAAACAGAAAACGAAGATGATGCCTAGCTAGGGAAAACTTTAGAACCAAAGGCCTGCTGCTCCTCAGGAATTAACCAGGAATCAATCCCAATTTGAAATAGATTGTCATTTTCCAGAGCCAATGCCCTCTCATCTCAACTCAAGCTAGCCAGTTTTTACCATTATATATACGGACGGAGGGAATATGAATTAACTCCTACCTCCTACTTACAAGCCCTTTACTGTTCTTGTTCTACTTGAGCACCAACAAACCACAAACTTTTAAATTTTAACAAGCCGGTTCAGACCCAGCCCACTCCAGTTCATGCACCAAATCAACAGTTTTATTTGCTGGTACGTCAAGTGAGATGCATTGCAGCGTACGTTAGTATTTCTCTATTTCATACTCCATCTATTGTTCTTACAAGGGCATGCATAATACGACGCCGTTTCGGATTAGGCGAAGTCAAAGGGGGTCTATTACCATTAATAATTGTGCAGTTTAATAAGATTTAGGGATGGCCGACAGGAGCTGTCGTGTCGCTTGATTATCATCCTAAAGGGATTAGGATATTGATTAATGTGTAATCACCTTTCGGAAAGTGGGCTTGATATTTTCTTTGGGGACTGCCTTTTGCTTCTTCTTTCTTCATTCTTCCTATGCAGGGAAGGGACAGAGGTGGTGGTCTTTTGGGTTTTGCGTTGCATTCCCTTCTGGGCTAGATCACCAGTCTTGTTGGAAACGAAAACAGATTCTTTTCTTGGTCCGTCTTTTCTTTTCTTTGTCAGTTGATTCAGAATAATTGCATTTATAATTATATTAACGTAATTTTACTATGTTGAATTACTGTCACTTCTGAAATGGAAGTTTAGTATGGTTTTTCTGTATTTGTAAATTTCAGGTAACTAAGCTGAGGCTGTCTTGGAGCTCAGGATGTCAATTTTTCCTTGTGAACAGATGTCTCCAATGGATTTGGGAACTGGGAATTTCGGGTTTGCTTACATTTTATCAAAAATAAGCTTTTTACACTTGTTTATTGCCTTCTATCTTGTTTTTTTAATTATAATTTTTGTTGTTTTTGTTTGAAAAATAAAATAAAACAAAGGTGCACCCACTATAGAAGAAGATGTAAGATAAGAGCACCCTGTTGCGACGAGATATTCGATTGCAGGCATTGCCATAATGAATCAAAGGTTCTATCCCCTTTTTTTTTTTTTTTTTTTTTTGTAAGAGGAGATGCTTTATAAAGCTCCCATTGAATGTAATATTTTTTATGAACAGAATTCTATGGAAGTTAATCCCATCGATCGTCATGATATTCCTCGTCACGAATTGAAAAGGGTCAGTTGCTGTATCTCTCTCTTGTGTTAAACTTATTTTTGGAATCAAATAAAGCAAAAAAGTTGAAAGTTTGCTTGTATATTCTTTTGTTCAATTTGTTAAATGAACATAAGTTTAAAGTAATTAGGAAATAAACTGTAGGTGCCTTTTTATGATCACGTTTTCTTAAGTATACTTTTCTGGGCCCAGGATTGACATTAATATCATCTCAAACTTGCTTTCTTTTCTGCTTTAAAATGATTTTTCATGTTTGAATGTTTTGTTTCACGAAAAAAGTTCATGGAATTGTGGGTACCATCAAAAGATGCAGACACATATTTTTTTGGATAAGGTTCAACATCTTATCTTTTGTTTCTCTATAAGCTCATTGGCATATTATATGATGCTTCAGTTTTTTGTAATTGTTTGTTTATTCATTATCGATTTCAATTTTAAAGATTTTTTTTTTCCAATTTGTTAAAAGGAAAAGTATGTACTGATTTAGTGTTTTGCTAAATGATTACTGTATTGCAGGTCATTTGTTCCTTGTGTGACACAGAACAAGAAGTGAGTCTCTAACGGACAAACTAATGGCTGGAGTAACAGTAACAATATTAAGCTTTATTATCAATGGTTTTTATTCTTCTTGAATATCTTGTCAGGTTCAACAACACTGCATTCAGTGCGGGGTGTGCATGGGGAAGTACTTTTGCTCTAAATGCAAGTTCTTTGATGATGATGTATGCCTCTTATTCCAAACTTCTTATTCAATATTTTTGGCTGCAATCCTGCTTAATAATCACGGTTAACAAATGAACGATTTGTTTTGCTAGATTTCAAAGAAACAGTACCATTGCAATGAATGTGGCATCTGCAGGTTTGTCCTTCCCACAGCTACTTGGTTTACCTTGCACTATCTCATGACCTTACATTTCTGTTGTTTTTGGTGGTGCAGAACTGGAGGGGAGGAGAATTTCTTTCACTGTAACAGATGCGGTAAGATATCAACATATCAAGAACCTTATGGCAACTCTGGACTTCAATTTTTATTTATTTATTATATCATTTAAATTTGTTTGTTTGAATTGGTTTTGTAACTTTAATCCATATGCTATTCAAATGTTAGTTCAAATTTTGGCTTAAGCCAAAATGAAAAGCTTTAACTTTGATTATTTATTCGACTCAAAGCGTGAAATGAAGGAGATATCTAAAGAGAGAATTTATATTGGTTGATATTCATCCAAAAAAAAAAAAAAAAAGGTAGCATGGTTAATGAAATCATCTTCATAATTGAAAGTGTATTGCCAAAAAAATCTAATTGATTTTGACCTGCATAGCTTTTTGGCTATTACTCTAAATCATGCTGATGCTACAAAAAATTCTATGTACTTATGAAATTCCTTTGTTGGTTCTTCTTTATTTACTATCTGTTGAGTGGCATTGTTTCCATTTTAGGATGCTGCTATACAACATTGTTGAAGGATTCACACAATTGCGTGGAAAGAGCAATGCACCATAATTGCCCTGTTTGCTTTGAGGTAAACTTGAATATGGAAAGAGCAACGCTAAAAATTATCATGATGCAAACCCTGATTTATCTTATATGATTTGCTAACTTATTTGATTTTCTTTGTATAGTTTCTCTTTGAGACCACAAAAGACATTACTGTCTTGCCTTGTGGGCACACCATTCATTTGGAATGTGTTAAAGAGATGGAGCAGCATTTTCAGTAAGTTTTTGGTAATTAAAAGGTGGCGATCATTTTGTGCTAATTCTTGCCAACTGTAGGAGTGTAGTATTTATATTTGGAATCGTGTTGCAGGTATGCATGCCCTGTTTGCTCAAAATCATATTGCGATATGTCTCGTGTGTGGCAAAAACTTGATCAACAGGTTTACGTACTATAGTATGCATGATATGATTTTACTTAATGAAGTAATGCTTTCTAAATTCCTAATTTGTTTTCTAAACCAACATTCAGGTAGCTTTGACTCCCATGCCTCCAACATATCTGAATAAGATGGTATGACAAAATCATATGGATTTCAACAGATTAACTATTGTCCGTTTATAATTCTTCAAGTATTTACATTTGCTATGTTATGATTGGTTAGGTTTGGATTCTTTGTAATGATTGTGGAGAAACTTCGGAAGTAAATTTCCATATTGTAGCGCACAAGTGCCTAAAATGCAATTCATACAATACAAGGCAGACACGTGGAGGGCCTTCTTCATGCTCATCAAGTATCGAAGAGATGACGAAATGACCAGCTTCTCATTAACGTCTCTAATTAAAGAAGACTCCAGTCATTAAAATGGTAAATGGAGTGGGGATGTTCTGCTTGAGGCCATAGAGGAAAGGGAATTATTCCCTTTTAACTCACTAAAAATGTCTGTACTTTAATCAGTTGTGATCCTGAGCTAATTAACAATGTTTTAAAATGATCCCTCGGTGCATGCATATTCATTGCAAGCTTCAAATTAGGTTCCCTTTCAGTGGGCGATATGTTCATTTCCAAATGAAGGTTCTATTAAACTAATTATTAGAATGTTTTTAACGCATTGCGACATCCCTCACTGATCATAAATCTCTTATTTCCCCTAGAAGGATACTGTTGGTTGTGACTGGTTTTCTATTGCATTCTGTCTATCTACCTCTCAAATTTACCCTTAGTAAATTTAGAGCAGTGACATTATATCAGAATGCATGGTTTGACAGCCACTTTTAATTAATGGGAACGTAATTGGAAAAAGGGAAAAAAGAAACATTTTTTGTTGCAGGAAAGTGGGATTCCTTGACACTCAAAAGGAGGACTCATTTGAGGAAGGTGGACTTCAGAGGAAAAATAGCACACAGACCGATGAGAACGGGTAATCGTCTGTATATATATAGTTCATGGTCTGCGGGTTTAAAACAGCTACTAAAGGCAGATCGTCAAACCCGCCGTTTTTTTTTAATTAAAGTTTAAGCTGGTTAAGCTGTGATGTGAGGTGTAGTTGAATTGGGAAAAAGAGTGAGGATAATAAGATTAGAATTGATCACTATTTGTTAAAAAAGCTCATATCATGTAAAAGAATCAGCCAATTTAAAAATAATTTAATTTGTCCCCATAATTTTCTTATTTGTAACTATGAAACTAATTTGCTGAAGGAGTTTGTGGTGGAAATTTTTTATTGTATTACTGTAAATTGGAATAATCGATCACAATTAGTATTTATACATATAAGATATAAAATCACAGTATATACAGTGTGAATTAGATCAATATATGAATCACAACTCTAAACTCAATACACAGTATATATGTACACAACTCCTACAATATCTCTAAAATGCCCCCTCAAATCGAAGGAGATTTAGCAACTTGAAACTTGTCTCCTAACCTGGTATACAGTGTAGTAGAGAGAGACTTGGTGAGTATATTACCAAGTTGAAAGTCAAACGGTATGTACTGAATTCAGGTTTTCTAGTCTCTTTATGGGGACCTCTCGTTTAAAAAGAGTTAAGAAATCAGGAGTAGTCGCCTAGTATTTTAAAAAGATTAAAAAACCTAAATTACTAGTATTTAAGAGATTATGAGTGAGGAGTTAATTATGCTTATTGGAAAGATAATAGTCATCCAAAAACATCATTTCCTAAAAAAAATTACCTCACTTGTTCTATTCATAAATAATTTCTCTAAGTATAATTTTGCCATAATATTTACAAACTGTTATGAAATAATGAATGTATATTTCATATTCTCATTACTCATTATTTTTAATGCGATTCAATTCAACTTTTAATATGAGAAATTGAAAAGATGATACAATTGATTTAATTATTTATGTACCTTTAATGGTTCATAGTCACTTTCGATTCTCTTCCTAATCTTGAAGCTTACAAATAGGTTTAATTATTCATTATTTTGTGTAGATGTGTTTTGTAGAGATTGAAAGAATTATTTGGAGCTCTTATCATTTATATTCACTTTATTTCACGGTGAATTCATTTTCTCATCATCTTTCTTTTCAATTCTATTATTGTTATCATTTTTTTTATAACACATTATCGGCATAAAGCTCTAACCAACTAAGATAATAGACCGTAAGGTATGTATCTACCAAAAGACTTAATTATTTGCTTCAATCATTGAATTTTTTTCTACATAAGTGCTCTATCAAAAGATTTAAACTATCTAGATCATCAAGAAGTATCTATCTAATTTATCATTTACTTTAAATCTAATGACATGTAGAGTATAAATTTGAAAAATTTGAATGATTTAATATATAGAATCTAATGATATAACGTATGCTATTTGAAAAGATTTAATTTTATTATTGTGTTTGTTCTTATTTTTTAACATTATTATTACATATTGCATTATAGAATTTTTATTATATTAAACCTCATAAACTTGATTTGTGGCCCTTGATATTTCCAACAAGAATTATTGATTATGAGTGCTTAATTATGAGAAAATATTCTCTATTTTTCATTTCTCGAATATGCTCATGTAGTAGCAATGTTGAAAAAAAGGATTTTAAAAATATTCTAAATTGATTTCAAATAACATATGTTATTTGAAAAGATTTAATTTTATTATTGTGCTTGTTCTTATTTTTTAACATTATTATTATGTATTGCATTATAGAATTTTTATTATATTAAACCTCATAAACTCGATTTGTGGCCCTTGATATTTCTAACAAGAATTATTGATTATGAGTGCTTAATTATGAGAAAATATTCTCTATTTTTTATTTCTCAAATATGCTAATGTAGTAGCAATGTCGAAAAAAAGGATTTTAAAAATATTCTGAATTGATTTCATGGTTCGAACAAAATAACAAGCTATTTATGAAAAATCATGAATTCTTTTCAACCGGTTCTACTCAATTTCTTGAAGTGAACATGACCACTTATGATAATTCTAGATATAAATGTAATCGTGGCCATAACCATTATCATGATTGAAATAATTATCATATAATTGTGATGTTTATAATAATACACCTTATCACAAGAAGTTGACAAACTATAACGATCATAATAATATACCTTATTACCCGATGTGGACAAACTATAATGATCACAAGAATACATCTTACCACTAGAAGTGGACAAACTATAAAAAAATAAATAAAAATAAAAGTGAATTAAGCCATTATTCTGAAAGTGAATGTTATTGATATCACATAAAGGGACATTAATCGGGTATCCGTTGTACACCGAATCACCTCATTAAGCTTTATCAAACAACATTGAAAAGAAAGAGTAAAATATAGAGGTCAATTTTATATATCAAAATGATGATAATTGAAATTAATAACTTATTAGCTTTTCTATTTATAAATAAGATTTTTTATAATTCTATTGCATAGAGATAGATATAAATTTATTTATTTATGTTTATGAAGAATATATTTCTTTATTTATTTTGTATTTATTTATTCTAGATAACAAGTTGTTGACAACTTCGCTCATATAGATGGAAAGCCACTCATAACTTTAAGTCATGCATTTAGGAAGTTATTGACAACTTTGTCATATAAGTGGAAAGTCACCGATAGCTTTATTTCGCTCGAACAAGAAGTAGATAATTGGTTTAGAGGCCACGATGACTTCATCATATAAGTAAGAAGCCATCGATGACTTCATTTTGGACAATTAGAAAGAAAATAAAATAACTTTAAAATCATTGTCAACTTCATCACATAAGTGAAAAACTACAAGCAACTTCATTTTAGCAATAAAAAATTAAATAAAAATAGTTTGAGACCTATTGGTAGCTTCATCACATAGGTGAAAAGCCATAGATAACTACATTTTGAGTAAACAAAAAACATTTAAAATAACTTCAAAACCACCAGCAGCTTCGTCACATAAGTGAAAAACCACCGACAACTTCATTTTAGAAAAACAAAAAAGTATGTAAAATGATTTGGAAGCCACTAGGGACTTCGTCTACATAGGTAGAAAGCCACCGACAACTTCATTTCAAACAAACGAGACAACAAGTAAATTGATTTGGAAACCACGAAAGCTTCAACCGCATAAGTAGAAAGTCAACGACAACTTCAATTTAGATAAATAGGCAACAAGTAAATCAATTTGGAAGCCGTAAGTAGCTTTGATCACATAAATAGGAAGTCATTGACAATTATATTTCAACAAACGGACAAGTAGGTAAAAATCCCATGCATAATCAAACGGAGCGTTTGATAGCTCAATCATCCACATCACAACATGTGCATCATTCATTTATCATTTTAAATAATTCGAGTAAGTTTGAAAGTTATCCAAATATTGTGAAAATATTATAAGTCCCTCTCTTGGATCAATTTTACTTTCTTTAATCTTAATGAATACCGATTATTTTAGTCAATCGAAAAAAAGAAAGTAACTATTTTTTGGTATTGAAAATAATATTGTACAATGATCGAGATGCCACTCGGTCAATTATACAATGACCAAAATACCCATGTAAATGAAATTTATAAAAATCCCATCGACGCGTGTGTTGCACTTGTTGCCACTATCCAACCATAATTGACCATAAATGTGTGTGGAATGGCTCCGCACAATGGAGGAAGGCTTCGTCGTACCTATCTCGTGGTGGTGGCGGTCGTCGTCGACTTCGAAGGAGGGAGATTAGTGGCTTTAAAGTTTTGACCGAATCGTTCCTCTTCTCACTAAATATTCTAACGAGTTTTAGAAGATTTTTAGGCCACCAATTGACTCATGAGGATAAGGGGAGTGTTTCGTGGTGCTTAGGAGGTCCGATTTGTCTTTGATCGACTAATTTTATCGAGTTGCACAAAACGGATCGAAAAATAGGTCATCATTGATTAGGCTATTTTTCGATGATTTCTAAAGGGAATCACTCTCGGGAGGGGGCCGACCAATTTTGTGGTGGAAGCAACCGATGGTTTGGCCAAAATTAAGGGATTCGGTCGGATTGTTAAACGAGTTAGGTTGTCAATCTTCTTTACTCAATTTTGACCAAAATTGATGTCACTTCCTTCTCTAACTCGGTTGGGAATTGTATATCTAGGTGTGGGCTATTAATTAGTGGTGGTGGTTGGAGGCAATATTGATCGGAGGATAGTTGATTTGGGAGAAGAAATTCGATGGGTCCGGCGAGTCAAACAACAAGTGGATGGGTTGGTTTCTCTTGAGGAGTTGTTTGGCTTGACTTTTTGTTTTTTAGGTTATTTGCTTTTTTTGGAATCTCTGTCTAGCTTATATGGCTGAAAGAGTTAGGTATTTATAGGAAAAAATTAGAGTTTTGGGCAAACACTATTTTTTGTCCTTGATTTCTCCCAATTTTTGATTTTGGTATAATTTTATTTGCTTGCATTTTAATTATACCCCTTAATTGAAATCAATCAAGATCTCTTCTTTTAATTTTGTTCAATTGTACCAAAAAATTATTTTTTCCAAATAACTTTCTTTTTTTCTTTTTTGTATTATTATTATTATTTTAACTCATAAATCAATTAAATTACTTGGGGTAAAAATTAGGTGCTAGCACTCATTATTTTTTTTAAAAAATGATTTCCATTCCTTAGTAGTCCTACTTTCTACCATGATAGTGAAAAAAATATATTTAATTTTCATTTCTATTCCACATTTTTATTCATATTTTCACTTCATTTCTTTTAACCAAACACCTAAATTTTTTTTTAATTCTCATTCCTATGATCAATATCGATTAAAAAACTAAATAATTAATTTTAAAAAATTAATTAATTGGTTTCTGAAAAATATAAAGAATAATTTATAATTTACTCCTAAATAGGCGTATTGATTGCTTAAAAAGGTGATGATTATTTGTAACTTCCATATGATGTATGCTCCAGCATCTAGGGCTTACATATGGTCAAACTACAGTTATTAGCCCTACAAACATAGGGAAGAACTTCTCCTATGTGATAGACTAGATTTAAGTCTTAACGATAACATTATACCAAAAAAATTAAACAATTTAGTCTTTGTATGTGAAAGTTGGCATAATAATTTTTTCACTGTTAAAACATTTTTTTTAAAAAAAAGGCAACAAGGCGACAATAGAAAATAACGAAGCGCTTCAATTTATTTTCTTTTGTTTCATTGTTCTTTCTTTAAAAAAGATTAAAATCAAAATTAAAAAAAGATGCCTCAACTTCTCATTGCATCATATGACCACGGCTAATTTGGCATTATCGTGTTCTACAGAAATCAATAAATTTACCAAATGCTAAAAATTGCACTGAATGAATGCCAAACAATAGCCTAAACCTACTATTCATATCGAAAAGGAAAAAAAAAAAAAAAAACTGCTTTTCATAAGTACATACCATTTCATAAAGTGGGGGAAAATCCTCAAGTAAAGATGTAAAAAAAATAAAAAATAAAATAATATTGCTAATTGATAAACTCTTGGGATATTGTTAATCAGTTGGATGTGCCCTCTGGGATTTATCCATGGAAATGGATATGTCGTTGATTCAATGGCTGCAATGGTCTTGCATTTTTTTCTGCATACTGCAAATTAAGTTAATAGCCAAAGGTTAGTTACCCTTGAAGCTGCATGCATTCCTATTGACATTCATAAATATAGAGCACAAATTACGATCCAATTAATTTTACTAATTCTGGCTACTCACATCATGGACAGCTGCTCGAAGTGCTTTAACTTGGTTTTCTGAAACTGTCCTTGTCTGAATTCAGTTCAAACACAAGTGAGGGGTTTATTTTAGCCCAGAAAAAACAAAACAAAGTCTGAGGAATTTGAAGGCAGGCAGGGAGGAGAGCTCACCTTTTTGTTTATGGTCCAAATAACATCTTGCGTGCAAGGAGGAGTGGTGAGTGAGCCCATGTATCTGTAATATTTCTTGCCACCTAACTTGATCTCCCTAGGGTCAACTATCCCCATGTCTCTTTCCAATTTTTGATCAGTCATAGACGTTATATCCTTGAGCAACTGATCAATAAAACGAAAATTAATTAACCACATGACATTAGTACTTAAATAGAAGAAATATAGTTGATGAAAATAATAATAATAATAATACCATGAGTGCAGTACTACTTGAACTTCAAGCGTCTAATTAGCTAAATTATTTCACAGATTTATTTTTGTTACCTTGGAGAGGAAAGCATCAGGTTTACCAATCTTGTAAAGATATCCAATAACAGCGATCTTCTGGTCTGGATTTGTGTGAACCATGTGTAGCTCCATGTCATACCTGATAAGGATAACAATTAATTCGGGTTTTTTTTTTCACAAAATATTTAATTTTATTATTGTCTACTTCAGAGATATAATTTACCTTCTCCCATTGATGGTATGCTCGGAAGGTGAGTGCCAGTGGCATTGTTGGAGAAAGTATTTGGTGCCATTGATCTGTATCGATCCCACTTTATCATATCCTTCCCATTGAACCTGTTTCCATATTGAAATCTATTTAATTAGTAGGATAATTTACATGATCAGCATCATTTTCTTTCATAAAAAATTGGTCAAATCCAGGACATTTCGAAAAGTAATAGCGGAATTCATTGGCTGAGAGTACTAGTCGTTGATTAACACGAGTCGTTGATTAACACGAGTTGCACTGAAAAGCTTGATTTTTATCACAGAATTAAAAGGAAAAAAAAGAAAAAAAAAGAGCATAATAATATCCTTACCATAATATCATGGCCTCGATTCTTCACAGTTGCATTCCAAGGTTTGTAATTCCTCCTTATATTTTATTTCTTTCGGACCATTTTCACTCTTGAGTCAGACATGTCAATGGGAGATTGGAAACGTCCGGATTTACAATCTGTCCATTCTTTCTTAAGCTCTCCCCAATGCGCTGGCCCCTTCTCGCTTCCTTCAATGTAATCAAACTCTCTCTCATCCTCTGCATCACATAATTATTTAAGTTAATTATAACCCACTAATCTCACCACCGAAAAGACCAAATATAATGGAATATTGACCATAAACGAAGAAGAAAAATAATAAATTCTTTGAAAAAAAACTGAAAATGTAAGTAGTGCGTGCATGTATTACCAACTTCTTGAGCTGTGACTGATAATGGATGTGAGAATAGAAGCACAAAAATGAGAGTACAACAGCAGCCTACGTATGTCCTTTGTAACTGCTTCATGCTTCGAGGACTGGACGACCAAAATAGATGGCTGCAAAAAGGATGAATGGCTGGTGAAAGACAACTGAAACTTTTTTGTTATTCGAGATGTTAATTTGGGCAGGAGTACATGTGAGGTTTAATTATATATCATATACAAATAAGGTTTTTATTTTGAAGGAAAAAAACAACGACCTGCTTGGAAGCTTCTTTTTATTCTTTAATCGGCTGACCAGAACTGTTCCCACGTTATATAGTTTCTTGGAGCAACCGATCATATATTGGTGTGAATGCTTGATTTGAAGGAAATGCCAAGGAAAGTCACGGAGCAGTTTATGGTTTTACTCGTTTATTCCATCGAAAGTTGAAACCCAGAAAACGAGTAAACTTGCAGACGAAACGTCTTAATCAAAAAAACCGTGATGGTTTAGAACAATCCTTTTATTATTTTCGTCGGTATGTAGAAAAAAATTGATGTGTCCTGGAAAATATCAATATCGTGGGGGCCAGTTTCGCAGCTTTATATTATGTCACCACCTATGTCAATTCCAGCACAGGAGAAGGACTTCAACTCTGTTCAATAATTCTTTTTTGTCCACGAAAGGAGTAAAACAGGATTTGACCTTTGATATTTATGAATTTTTAGGATGATTGATTTTCTTTTTTTTTTCTTCCATGTAATGCTCCTGAGATTATGCAATTCTATTTCTTTATGATAGCAACTTTATATTTTAAGACGTGTACTCCAATTAGTTAAAAGGAATTCTGAGAAAGAAAGAAAAAAAAAGGACACAAAATCAATTCACTTGAAAATTATTAGGCGTCGGATTATTTTGATAAAAGATAATATTTATTACAGAAATCAGTTTTGATAAAGTAATTAAATACTATTATTGTAATTTTAATATAGAAAATTGTAACTTGCTTTTTTCTTAATGGATGTGTATAGCCAAAAACGTTTCGTAATTATTGTATAATAATGATATAATTAATAGCTATAAAGTGACCAATGAATATGATTGCTCTTCTACCCCTCTCTCTATGTATTCACACACTTAATCATGCGCTAGAAGAAGAGAATACATGATAAAATGTTTCTTTGTGACATGATCTAACAAAACTTATTATTAGAAGGATCTAGATTTTCTCAACCTTCCAACAAAGGAGGGAAAACAAATTAAAATTGCATACAGTAATAATCGAGTGAGCTGTTCTAATTTGATTACAGGTGTCAATGGCACTACTAGATACAGCTGTTATATATACAGTCCAAATGCGACCACATAATAAAAAACAACTTTGGGTCGAGTTTGTTAAACCAACCAACTGGGCTAGCTAGCTAGTTAGCAGTATATACTTCAAAAAAAAAAAAAAAAAAAAAAAAAAAACACTGGGCTAGTGCTTCCAAAATTTGCTATTTTGGATGTAAATAGATCATTGATCTCCGATGTTTGCCGACAAATCGATCCATTTTTTTTTTCTAAATCCTACTAACACCCATATGGGCCACTATATATGTATAGCCTGGTAGTTTTCACATTAATTGAGTATTGGATCTTGCTATTAATAGATAATAAGTTAAATATAATGAAAATAGTTTCTTTATTAGGAGAATGGTTGCATAGCCTATGCTTGTCATCACACTCGTTTGCGTTACATCAAGAGCATTAGATGTCAATTTGAGCATAATGGTTGCACAACTCATGCTTATTATCTCACATGATCGTATTACATCTTAAGCACAAAGTGTCAATTCGAATAAAACGATTGCACGATTTGTATGTGTCATCATATAGTCGTGTTACATCTCGAGCACAAGTTGTCAATTTAGACAGAATGATTGCATGGTCCGTGTCTATCGTAACACACAACTATGTTACAATTCGTAATTATATTAGTTAAGTATGTTTCTTTAATTAATATTATTCTATGACAATCAATTTTTAGTTTTAAATAAATATTACTCGTTAGATTGTGATCGTTAGAATTTAATAGTTAGTTATTCAATCAAATTAATTTTCTAATAGTTATGTTTTTTATGAAAGGATTCTAGTAAACTATAAATGGAAGAATACTACACATGACGAATATATGATTCTTTCTTCTACAATCCTCGTCTCAAAATTTTTTTTCCCTAAAACTCTAAAATTTCAAGAGAAATTCTCTAGAAAAAATTTCAAAAGTGCTCGCTTATAATTCGTTGGGTGCGAAATTGAATCTTGGGGGTGAATTGTCAAAATCTCTATAGTATAATAGTAGGAAAAATAATCACGTTAAGGATAGTGTGAAGAGATTTCGTATGCAATTAAGCACCACAATCTTTTGTTTTCATCTTCGGTTCCGTAATTGCTATTTTATTATTCAACAATCTTAAGGTGGTTATTTTTTAATGATTAAAGCAAAGGCATAAAGTTCTTTCAAGTGGTAGATCGTAACATGATGAACCAAGATCACTTAATGGGAAAAATTTCAATTAATGGAAGGACAAACCGATGTTCACACTTAATGCAAAAAAGGTTACTTACGTGCTAGATCCAAATTTGGAGGATCTTCTGAACCAAAGGATGACGATTCCGAACAACTCAAATCCGAACAAAAGAAACATTTTTATGATGAAGTATTATGCAAAGGACACATTCTTAACATATTATTCGATTGATCATACGATTTCTTCACTAATGTTCAGTTTCCAAAAGAAATCTAAAATGTGCTCGGAGTTCAAATAAAATACCGATAAAACAAGAGGCAAATAAGTTTCTCGTTATAAATTTTTTTAATTTAAAATGGTTGATAATTTATCTCGTTATGGATCAAGGTTATGACTCGTTTGTTATGGTATCAAAATTGAAAGAGTTTAAAGTTTAGGTTTCTAAATCACTATAAGTAAGGGCTATGATTACAAAATTACCCTCTAGTTAGAATGACTATAGAAAGAAAATGCTTCATAACATCGAAGATCTTACTTTGGAATAGTTTGAAAAAACATCTCAAGATCAAGAAGGATACTCAAAATTTACAAGAAAGAAATCTTGAAATTATTTCCAAAGTAAATTATGTGGATGAAAAGAAGCCAAATTCGGGAGAAAAGAAATATTTTAGAGAGAGTATTTTGGAGGAAAGAAAAGAAAATTATAGGAATTTTCGAGCTCCAATGTAACAAAAAAACAAGATCGAAAGTCTTACTATCATTGTAGAAAGAAAAGTCATTTTAAACGTGATTGTCGATATAGGAAGAAACAAAAATGGAGAATGCCAATAATGCAAATATGGTTAAGAATAAAAAAATGCAATTGTTGTAATAATTTCGACTTGCACATTAGCATGATCATAAAATTGAAGATGACTACTCCAATAAAGATATTTGATTAGTAGTATGACTTCGGTGATACCATTTATATGTGTTATGACAAAGCTCAATTCAAGACCTTGCAGAAGGTCACTAAAGGATATGAAGTGATGATGGGAAATAACAACACCACAAAGGTTTTTTGCAAAGGCACTTTTGAAATATCCTTCACTTCTTGAAAGAAGTCGATACTAGTCAAAGTTATATTAGTTTCTAAGATTAGAAAGAATTTTGTATTTGTAAATCTACCGTGTAAGAAGGGAACTAAGATTTTTTTAGAGTCCGAAAAAGTTTTATTCTCTAAGAATGGTGCCTTTGTTGGCAAATGGTACTTTTATGATGGCATGTTCAAATTCAATATTATTAATAAAATGAATGATTCTACTTATATTGTTGGCTTTTCTTCTTTTCATTTATAGAATGGTATATTAACACATGTTAATTTCGATTATATTAATTATATATCAAAACATTGTTTAATCTTTTTCAATGATATTAGTAGTGAAAAGTGTGAAATGTGTACATAAGAAGAAATGACTAAGAAGCTTTTTTTCCTTCAGCTTGAAAGATCATTTGAATTATTAGAACTTGTTCATTCCGATATATATATAAAATTGAATTTTAAGTAGAGAAAGAAATAGGTACTTTATTATTTTCATTGACGATCATTCTAAATATTCTTATGTGTATTTAATAAAAACTAAAGATCAAGTCTTTTATGTTTTTATGTGTTTAAATATAAAGTTGAAAAAAAAAGATTAAAGTTTTAAGAAGTGATAAGGTTGGTGAATACTTTCATGCTGATTTTTCTTCTTTCTATGAGGCTAATGGCATTATACACAAAATGAGTGCACCATACAACCAATAACAAAATGGTTTGGATGAAAAAAAATAAAAAATAAAACACTAGTTGATATGGTGAATACAATGAAATTGAATGCTAAATTACCTAATACTTTACATGGTGAAGCATTGCTAATCGCAAGTCATATAAATAATAGGATACATTCTAAGAAATTTAAAATCTCTTCATATGAATTATGGAAATGGAGAAAACCAAATCTAAGTTATCTTAAAGTTTGAGGTTGTCTAACCTTTTATAGAGTTATGAATCCTAAACGAATTAAGTTAGGACCAAGAGCTCTAAGAAGTATGTTTGTAGGATATGCTCAACATTCCAAGACATATAGATTATTTGATTTAGAATCAAATGTGATTGTGGAATGAAGCGATGTTAATTTATTGAATATGAATTTACTAATGATTTCAATGTTACTACACAAACACATAAATAAACCGATTCAAGTTCATCATCTAGTGGTAAAAATGAATCTCTTAATACTCTTAGTGAACCTAAGAGAACTTAAAGGATTAGAAAATAAAAGAATTTAGATTCAGATTTTACTTAATCACGATCTATTGTCTTCCTAATTAAAGGTGATAGAAAATTTATACTTAATAAAATATCTATTTTATTTGATATAGAAGAAGATCCTTAAAGCTATGAAAAAGTTATGGCATCAAGAGATGTAGCATTCCGAATGGAGGCAATTAATGACAAAATGGATTCAATATTATCTAATAATACTTGGATGTTTGTGGATTTGCCTCTTGGTTTAAAGCCTATAGGTTGTACATGGGTATTTCATAGAAAGTATAATACCGATGAATCTATACAAATATTTAAGACTAGATTAGCGATAAAAGAATTTAGATAAAAGAAAGGTATTGATTATTTTAGAATGTATGCACCAATGACTAGTATAACATCTATTAAAGTACTATTTACTTTGTCTTATATTCATAATTTGATTATGCATCAAATGAATTTTAAGACGGCCTTATTGAATCGAGAATTGAATGAAGAAGTATATATAAAACAACTCAATGGGTTTGTATTGCTTAGAAATGGGCGAGAAAGTATGCAAATTGGTTAAATCATTGTATGGTCCGAAACAAGCACTAAAATAGTGGCATGAAAAATTTGATTTTATAATATTGTCTTGTGAATTTAAGCATTATAATACAAATAAATATATTTATTTTAAATTTATAAAAGAATATGATGTTGTTATATGCTTATATGTTGATGATATGCTTATATTTGGGACAAATATTGATGGTGTGAATAAAACAAAGAATTACGTATCCTCACGAGTTTAAGATGAAAAATCTAGAAGAGGTAGATATTCTCTTAAGGATCAAAGTGAAGAAAATTAGTGGGTAACTATTTTGTGTCAATCTAATTACCTTGAGAAAATTATAAATAAGAATCAAATATAAAAATTAAGGAGGCAAGTACCCTATAAGAAAGTTCACTTATGTTAATAAAAAAATTCTGAAAAATTAATTGCTCAAATTGAGTATGCTAGTGTAATTAGTGGCTTAATGTATGCAATGCATCGCACTAGGCTAGATATTTCATTTGTAGTTTACAAGCTTTCAAGGTAAATCGGTAATCCCGATATTGATTATTAGAAAGCAATTTTCGCAGTCCTAGAATATCTCAAAATAAATTTAGTTTGGGACTATCTTATAAGGGTTATTCATTCGTATTGAAGGGATATACCGATACTAGTTGGATAACAAGTGCCGGTGATAACAAATCTACATCCGGTCGGGTATTGACCTTTAGTAGAAGAGCTATTTCATGGACTTCTAAGAAACGGACATATATAACTTATTCCGCTATAGAATATGAGTTTATTACACCGTCGACCATAGAAAAAGAGACAGTAATGGCTAAAGAATTTATTACTAGAAATCGAGTTGTGGTTGCAACTAATGCCAATCATTTTGTTGCACTACGATAGTGAAGCTACTATGTCTAGGGCTTTTAGCAAGGTTTATACCGAGAAATCTAAACATATAAGCTTAAGACATGAATATGTCAAACAATTAATTTTTGAAGGAAATATCACATTCTTATATCTAAGAAAAAGTAACAACTTGGCGAATCCATTCATAAAAAGACTTACTAAGGATTTAGTAAGGAAAACTTCAATTGAAATAGGTTTAAGACCCTTCTCTTAAAGTCACCAAGTTATAGAAATCCAACTTTTCTCTAGTATTATCACTAGCTAAAAGTTTAATAGATAAAAACAAGTTACTAATAAGTGACAAGTGGAAGTACTAGAATATTTTATTTGTATTTGCATTTCAAGTTATCTAGCACTAATAAACTTTGGAGGATGGGTTATAAATTCTTAATGAGGCTTAAGCGATGGAATATGATCAATATATTCGTAGTTTAATAAGGAACCTCACCTATATAAACATAAGGAGTGGTGTCGCTCCTAGAAAAATTTCAAAGATTGACTTTTGGAAATATTTATTAAAATCTAGGATGCGACACACGACTATATAGATGCTAAAAAAAATTTGAAAAATTTCTCAATGAAGTTGGATTAGATCACATGTGTGGTATTTCTAGATTTAATATAAAAGATAATAGCTCAATCACTTAAAAACACATTTATTTCATTAACACTTTGAGATATCTATATTAAAAAAGAGATTCAAGTCGAGAGATATATATATTTTTTTATGTATAATACTATAAGGACTTAACATTACTATTTCAATTGGAGATTATTAGAAATCTTGGTTTTCATAGGTAATGAGTTAAATGTGGTAAAGAGAGTTTTTTTAGTAGAATGGTTATTTTTTTGGGCTGAATGGTTACACGGCTCGTGTCTATCATCTCACACAAATGTGTTACATCAAGAGTATCGAGTGTCAATTTAGGTAGAATGGTTGTACAACCCTATATCTCGTCATCTCACATGGCCCCGTTACATCTCGAGCCTAAAATGTCAATTTGAACATAATAGTTGCACTCGCTCGTGTCCGTCATCTCCTATGATCGTGTTACATCTTGAGCACAAGGTGTCCATTTGGGCATAATAGTTGCATGACCCATGTTTGTCATAATAAACAACCATGTTAAATTCGTAATTATATTAATTTATTATGTTTCTTTAATTAATATTTTTCCCGTGATAATCAGCTTTTTAGTTTCAAACCAAATATGAATGTTGTATTGTGATCGTTAGAATTTAATAGTTAGTTATTGAATCAAATTAATTTTCTAATAGTCATATTTGTAATGAAAGGTTTTCAATAAACTATAAATGGAGGAATACTACACATGGCAAATATATGATTCTTTCTTCCGCAATCCTCCTCTCAAAATTCTTCTTTTTCTAAAACTCTACAACTTGAAGAAAAATTCTCCAAGTAAGAATTTTAAGAGTGACGTCTACAATTCTTTGAGTGCGAAATTGAATCTTATTAGTGAATTGTCAAAATCTCTCGTAATATTATATTGGAGACAATAATCACTTTAAGGACAATGTGATGAGATTTATGCACGTAATTAAGCACTACGATCTTCCGTTTTCATCTTCAATTTTACAATTGTTATTGTATTATTCAACACCGAGACTAAGTCCACCGTTTCCGGGTTAAGCCGGTGTCGAATACATTTGGTTTTGATTGATCATTGAACTCTCTTTTAAACTAAATGAGCCCGGATTCGATACTATTAAAAAATAATTATAGTTAGTTATCCATAAACAATGGATATTGAACTTTAGTTTTTTGCTAAATAAAAAAATATATATATATTATTTAACGCTAAACCACATCTTTTTACGTTGACCACTAGATTTTTTGTTGTTTTCAAATCCAGTAATCAAAAGATGCTTAAAAAATCAGCATTGTAGCAACCTCTTTATTTTTCACCTGCGAGGCTCCAACCTTCTCGAGCAATTCCATTTTACAAATTACTAAAAGTAGGGTATGAGTGTTTCCTTACAAAAGCGAGATTATCAGAATATAGTTTGTCTAGATTTTTTTTTCTTCTTCTGTCAAAGAATAACATTGCAGGAATATGGTAAAATATTAATATCTGCACCGGAATGGATATTTTGCCAAAGGTGATGATGTGACATCTCGAAAATTTTATGGTCTGGCCTATTTCATATATAGCTGATAAGCTTAACTTATATTATTATTATTAGGCAAAAGCTAATGATTATCTTCAAAACATACATTAGTTAAATATATTTATTGTACTTCATTTATCATCGGATTGTTATAAAGCAATCGAATATTTGAATAAAAATAAATGATATTTATTATAAACATTAAACATGTATTACTTTTTTTTGTTATTACTTTTTTTTACAGTTTAATTTTTTTTAATTAATTATCATGTTATATAAGATTTTTTAACAATACTTTTAAAAATACTCTTCTTTTTAAGGGGAAAAAATCTATTTAATTTAATGGTGCATTATAAAATAAAAAAAATATTTTTTTAAAATACACTATTAAATTTTAATCAGACAAATATAAATAAAAAGAAAAACAATTTTTGAAGAGAGAGAGTATTTTATATTGTAATATTTTTTAAATCGATAATAACAAATTTTATAATTAAAAAGAAAAATAAATGGAGAATTAAATAACCCTTAACAAATGCTTTAAGTTAAGAACACCCGAACCTTATTAGTATCACTGATCTCTTTTCTATCAACATGGTTCGATGAAAATGCATGATTCTTTCTATAAATATCTACTGGTAATGATTTTCATGAGGCCCCTGTCTTGGTAAGGTGGATCTTTCCCATTTGCAGACATGAAGAAAGTGCCCCATTATGTGTTGCTCATAGTGAAATATCACCAGCAGATCGAACCCACAACACGATGCACTAATTAATCATAGCACTAGCTCCATGGTTTTGATTAACTACCTGATATGATCTGACCTTAATGGAAAGTCCACAATCAGATTTTTTCTAAGCTTTCCGCCCACTCTCCCCCTTTCCTCTCGCATTCTATAAGTAGCCATGCATGTATCTTCTTCTTGAGCATTAAAAATAACTTGCAAAAGCTAAAAACTGAAGTAATAGAGAAACTCCAACACCATGAAGTCCATGATATTCTTGTTCTTAATGTCGCTGCTTTTGATGGCTAACTTGAGTTATGCCACGAATAGAAAGATGTTGGCCATTGAAGAAAACTCCAACAACAAATTGTTGGGAGAGATAGCAAGCAAGGGAAACGTGAAGGTCGCAGCGACAGAAAATTCGGCAGATAGCGATGGTGAGCCTGAAATAAATAATCATCATAAGCTTCCAAGGCAATCATTTGGTGGTCATACTAATAATCAGAATGGACCATCGGAAACCCCTTAGATGGTCATAACCATGCTAGCTAGGGGCTCTTGCCCTGTTTTTTCAAGAGGAACAACTTGTATGATATGTTTAAATGTGTGGAGACTATGGTGTGCTCAATTGAATGTGATGGGGTTATTATAAGTTTAATTTCAGATAATTAATATTATGATAGTTGTAACTTGTAAATGCATCTGTTTAATTGTATTAACCTAGTTCGAAGCTTGGAATGTATTATATATTATGTATCTTGATGAAATCATGATTATTGATTTGATTTTAACAATTGAATGACTTTTAATTCAAATTGATTGTGATGTTGTTATAACTTGTTGAATAGAAGAACAGTGACAAGTATCTACAAAATAAATTTTATTTTTTAGTATTTAGAGGATTTTTTGATAGTTAAATTAGTGTATATGGAGATATATTTTACCTAAATAAACTTACTTATATTTCATCTGAATAGACTCAACTGTCTTTTTGCTTTTAAAATGAGTAAATATATGATATGGTGTCAATTATAGCGTTTAAGAGGTAAATTTTCTAACATATGAAGTGTTAACCTTTTTATAGCAAGGGAAATAAATTTGCACCAAAAAGCGGATAATGAAGTCTTTTAAGGAATCCTGAAATCTATCTATAAATTGTGAATTTTTTGTGGGTAAATGTTTGTGAGTATGGCTGCATATATAATCATGTTTGAGAATAATGTGATGGATGCTTTTAAGAACCATGCCTTCATTAAATGCTTATACTTTCTGTTTAGCCCGAGGAGGAGAAATAGACCTCCATCCAGGATGTTCTATCATGTCTGTTTGGGATTTGCCCAGCTGTGAAGTCTTCATCTTTGAGGAGGCAATCCAGATTATAGTTGTGTTGGAGGTCAGGTGTATTTTTTTATGGACAGAAAGGTCATGTCTCGTGGAGTGATTTACAAAAAAATAAAATAAAAATAAAAAAAATCATATCCAATAAATAATAAAAAGCAATAAGAACAAAGTCTAAATTGTAAAAGTTGTAATATTTTGCTTGTGTTAAATTATTATTTTGTTTGAGAATTTATAGTTGTCAAGGACAGCGTTTGAACTTGAGCTACTTCATTTTCTTAATTAATTTCCAAATGGTAAATTTGTGTAAGCTTTTTAAAAAGACATGACAATGAAAACGTTCTTTTAACATTATTATGTGTATGCGTTAGTGGTAAGTATCTTATACTGAAAAAATAAAATAAAAATAGAAGTGTTTATTTATAAAATAGATTTTTTATCTGATAGTTTAAATTTTCAACTGGGAAGTTGTATTTATTTTTGTGTTTAAGTCCTTATACCTGCATGCATAATGCAGATTCAGAAACTCATGCATCTCTTCGCACTTGGATTGTTAAATACTTCTATTAGGATATAGTTGTGTTCGAATGTGTTGGAGTTACTGGTGGAAAGAAGATTTGTCAAGTGCACATAAAAATGATAAATATCTTACATTAAAAATAAATTGAAAACAAAAATGCTTACAATAGTCTTAAATTTTGGGGTGAAATGATACTTATAATGTATATAAGCCAGAAGTAAAGGCCCATATGCATGCCTGACTCCCAAGTACTATGCACTCCCCAATACACATTTCCCCCAAAAAAAAAAAAAAAAAAAAAACTATTTTCATACCTCGCTTTTAAGTGTTTTTGAAAACCCCTTCTGTATAATTATATCATATATGAAACTGAACCGGTGACTCTTCTCCTCACTTGCATTACGCCAGGCACATATGTCGTTAAATTATTTGATCCCACAGCCACGGGTCGGGTAGGAGTGAGCACTTGGGAAAATAGGGTGAAAAAGTAGTCATTTCAGTGGGTACTTGTTGACCCCTGCTGTTTCTTTTTTCCCTTGCCCGAACTGAAATTTTTTTCCACTACCTAATTTTCCCCTGATTGGATAATTCGGCTAACCCGAAATTCGCTTAAAATGTTGTTATGGGCTTAGGTAGGTTCCTTCCTATTATTAAAAAAAAAAAAAAAAAATCAAAGCATAGTATTTTCATATGAAAAAGTCTTGAGTTTGAGAGATATTTCTTTCAGACACTAACAGCTAATCACAGTACATGTTCATAATTAAAAAATAATAATCACAAATGATATTTTGAACAAATAATAATATTTTTTTCTTTATCTTCTCAACTAGACTAGGGTTCTTTTTACCCCCATAGGAAGAATCCGGCACGATAACGTTCATATATATAGTATTTGCGAATAATTGATATCGAAATCACATATATGGTAACAATTGAAATAATAATGCTTTTCAGTACCAAACATTAAATATTTTAAATATATGATATTATATATTATTCAAAAATTCTTTAAATCGTTTAAAGATTAATTAAAAGAACAAAAATCAAAAGAGGGCCATCAGGCCCGCACAATTGGGCCCAGATACCTAAGCCAGCGACAGCTAACTTGCTTAGTCGCACGCAACCCAGCAGCAATTTTCCTTTTTTCATAAAACAGGGATCAATAAAACGACGCGGTTTGGTCAAAACAACTCACATTTTTGCAAGCAAACGGCGCCGTTTCTCTTTGCAGGGACTAAGGTACACAAATACTGTTCATAATAAACAGTGCTGACCCCAATCCTTATCGTATCAGATTCCGAGTAAATTATAATTAGTCTCTTTAATTTGCAGAAATAAATTAATTAGTCTCCTTTGTTTCAAATACTAATTATTTATTTCCTCTTTTTTTTAAATACTAATTATTTATTTCATTAGCTAGCAGTGTTTGTGCTTAATTTAATATTGCTTTTTATTTAAAAAATATTATCTTTTCTTATTAATCCTACCATATTTTCATTTATTTTTTCCTTTTTTTATTTTCATTTTTTGAAAATTAACATAAATTGTAATGAAACAAAAGAATTAAATTACAAGAAAATATAAAAATTAAACAGTGATTGTTTGAAACAAGACAGGCTAATTAATTTATTTCTTGAAATTAAACGAATTTGTTTATAATTTACTCTTTAAAATATCGAATGCGCAGAGCTGGGTTAATCATATTTATTTATTTTTTGTTGCTATTTAATGACGGATTGTGATCTGGGTCCATAGCATGACAAAAACATCTATACAGAGAGAAGACTTGGAGGGCTGATAGCTTTTAATTTAATCCATTAATTTTTTTATTTACACGAAAATACTTTTAAGAAAAAAAGGTACATTTCAAAGCATGTGCTTTGGCAGCCTAAGTTGCAAGCCGTTAAATGGGCCTTGCATTTTGAGATTTTGAATATTTTATTAGTTCTTAAAAGAAGAAGCAGAATTCAATTTATGAACAAAGAAAAAAAAAAGAGAAATTTATTTTCCTAATTAAATACTTTTAGTATAAGAACTTAAAATGATTACCATATGATTTTTACCTTTTTCTTATTTTTTTTAATGACCCAACTAATTCTATTGTTAAAGGAAAAGTTTTTATTACAATCCTATTCGAATATAAAGGGTTGTCCTATGTTCTTGGTTTTAAAAAAATCTGGAAAAGAAAATTTTAGGAAAAATCTAATGAAAAACAAACACCCTCAAAGTGCACTTCCTATTAAAAAATAGAATACCATAACCTTAATGAAAAAGGTGAAGTCCCGCGCGCGGGGCCCCCGGGGGGGGGGGGTGGTGGTGGTGGTGTTGTGGTGGTTGTGGTGTGGGTGGGGGTGGTGGGGTGTGGTGGTGGTGTGCGAAGGGAAGGGAAAAACCACAATCAATACTAATATATGGCTCAACAAAAGAGCAAGCACTCGACAACGGTGGGAGCCAGCTATTGGGGTCATGGTTTTGAAAAGAACAGTGGGCTACAATGCTTTTGTAATGACTACAATTCTTCACGTAATAGGCTCAAAACTATTTGGAATAATGTGGACTTTTTCTTTGTTATTGACATAAAAAATGAATTCTATCTTGTCCAATTTTTCAGCAGAAATTATTATGTTTTTGTTTTTGTGGAAGGGCCATGGATTATATTTAGTCACTAGTTCATTACACAAATTTAGGGTCATTGCTTCCATGTTTAACAAGATTGGATGACGATGATAGTTGTATGGACTCATTTTTCTTATTTATCCGTAAATAAGTATTATTTTTGAATTTTATATATTATAGGTAGTATGATCTATAACATAGTTAAAAATGATTATATTACTTAAACAAGCTAAAGAGAAAAGTTCGCAAAAGTTGTGATCTATATGGATCTTGAAACTCGATAAAAGCATCCATTCGAGTGGAAGATATCAATCAAAATGTTTCTTACGAGGGTTTACCTCAAACATGCTATACATCGGGTCTCAAGTATGCTATATGTCAAATGAATATCTCATATAAAAACTTAAGCTATTAAGTGATATTTCAAGATATGAATTCTATCTTGTCTAATTTTTCGAGTAGAAATTATTATGTTTTTGTTTTTGTGGAAGGCTCATAGTTATATTTAGTCATTATTTCACTACACAAATTTAGGATCATTGCTTCCATGCTTAACAAGATTGGATGACGAGGATAGTTGTATGGGCTCATTTTTCTTATTTCTCTCGTAAATAAGTATCATCTTTGAATTTTGTAGATCATGGGTAGTATGATTAGTAACATAGTTAAAAATGATTATAATACTTGAACAAGCCAAGGAGAAAAGTTTGCAAAAGTTGTGGTCTATATGGATCTTGAAACTCGATAAAAGCATCCATTCGAGTGGAAGATATCAATCTAAATGTTTGTTATGAGGCTTTACCTTAAGTATGCTATAAATATGGTCTCAAGTATGCTATATGTCAAAGGAACATCTCATTTAAAAATTTAAGCTATTAGGTAAGATTTTAGAATATAATTTATATTGTTGTATAATACGCTCCCTTAAGTGAAGCTATTTAGGTTTGAAACTTGCATAATAGAGCTAGATGAGGAACGAGGAGAAGACGACGACAAGTTGCTTCTGGGCTGGATGAGGAACGACTAGCTAGCTGGAGGAGAGAGAGTCTCGGGCTAGAGATGGTGGCGATCATAGGGTAAAGTCAATGGTGGTCTCTCGTTGGTGATGGTGGCGATCATGGGCTGGAGTCGGTAATGGTTCTAGGTTGGTGATGTTTAAGGTCTTGGTCAAGTGAGGCAAGCGAGAGGGGAGAGCTGCAATTGGAGAAATTTTGGAAAGATGGATGAATAGTGCCTTGTATAAAAAAAAATGAGGATGGGTATTTATAGGGAAAATATGGCTTTTTTGGGTAAAGGTTAACTTTGTTTCGTGATTCCTCCTAACTCATCAATTTAAATGCAATTTTGATTGTTTGAACTTCAATGACACTCCTAAATTGCAATTAATAAGAACCTCTTTCTTTAGATTTCTTTCAATTGTACCCTTTTCTTCTTTTATTTAAAGGTTTGGGGGTTTTGAGTTTTTTAATTACATTCTCAATTGGGTTTCTTTCGATTCCTAAACTTCCTATTTCTTTTAATTAGACCCCTAAAACTAATATAAGCCACTTATTTCAATTGAATTATTTTCTCCTCCTCTTTTTCTTATATTTTTATTTTTGTATTTTTAATAAAATAAAAAGAAAATAATATGAGTGAAAAAATGGATACTAACAAACAATATGCCTAGAAAATCTTAATTCATTCATCATCAATCTACCATGAGCATAAGCCATAAATAGGTTTTAACTTGTTGATGACCTTGCCGCTTTGGTATCTTATTCCAAATCAGATTCTTCTAAAGTAAGTGATGCTCGACTAGAAAAGCATAAGCTGATTTGGCCATAAACATCTCATTAGGGGTCAAACCCAAAGGCCTTGATCCTCTTCTGCCACCAGAGTTGGAGAAAAAATGATAGCAATTTGGAGGATCACTTCCACGGAAAAGTAATTAAGTGACCAAAAAGACTATTTACATGCTCAATTTATCTATAAAAATTAATTTAATTTTATTATGTGTTAATATATGTTTTTTTTTTTTTTTTTTTTGCATGATTCCAAGGTACATGACAAATAAATTAGAACAAGGATGGGCTTCGTCTAGCAGACAAATTTTGGATCGTACGAAGATAGATACGGGTATTCAAGCATGATTAATGTCGATGTTTTGTTTTTAAGATGTAGTAGAGAGATTTGCATGCTGGATTTGGAATGTGATCTATTAAAAAAAAATCTAATAGTTACTTCATTTAATTTTTGCTAGTAAGTTAAAGCAATTTAACCGAAAAAAAAAACCCAAAAATTTTTTTAAACTCAAATATGAATGTTCAAATATAAATGACGCAACATAATTTTAGAAGTCAAGTATCATCCTCATTTAACTATACTAATCTCACATTATTGTACGAGAATTTCAACTTTTTATTTTTAGCAAAAATCAATGAATTATTTTTTTAAAATTCTCTCACTCATGCATCTATTTAGATTTTGACATCGCACAACCACTTGAATTGCACCTTCTTAATAATGTATGTCCTTCTTTATATACTTCTCACTGCTTAAACTTATCATGCTTGATTGATTGACCAATATTTTCATAGTTCAAGGACTATTTTTTTATATATTTTGACATATCTGCTAACTTGTTTTTAATTTATTCTGAAAAACACAATTCATACAGATCCATTACCATTGATTTGAGGTAGAAACAAAAAGGGAAACCGGTTGATCCAGTAGCTGCTGATCAACCACCCTACCTGCATGACTCAGCAAATTACTTGATAAACCCGATACCCGATTGTCAATCCAAACTTGACTTTATATCCATTACCCAAAACCAACTCCACTTGGAATTGATTAGGGCAAAACGTAATTCAATTGCTACTCTGGGCTGCGGGTTTTCTAACACATAATGTGAACAAACTGGACCTAACTCGTTTCGGGCCTCGTTTATCTGCCACCACGTTAATTGGGCCATGATTTTGTTTGCATGAAGCCTTGTTTTCCCTTGTAACCATTAACATAATAATATATAGTCCTGTTGGTTGGGTTTTTTTTTTTTTTGGAGAAAACATGATACTAATTATTTTTTAAGAATCCACTAAATGGGAGCATTTGGATTCCTTCGGACCACCGCGTCTAATCTCTGAAAAATTAGTTCCAATCCTCGTTCAATGGTTTGAGAAAAACATAATGATAATAATGATGATAATACTCCATAATTATAATTACATATAATCATAGTGATCAATAAATTTAAACATAATAATAAACAATGATGATAATACTCCATAATTATGCATGCTGCTTCGTGGACGATGGAACATAATTACCATCACAAAGTTAATTAACTAACACTTTCTTCTTATTTTTATCTGTTTGAGAGTAAAATAATATTATATAAAGCTTCTGACAATCTTATTTTAAAATTTAGAACTAAAATTATTTTTTGATGCGGTATCAAAATATTTTTGATAAAATGACAAGAAATTCAAATTTTAAATCCCTCAATTTTCTTTCCTTCTTTCTAATTAAATTATTTTACATTATTACTATTAATTAATCCTAGTTCATTATTTAATTACACTTTGGAGCCAGTAAAAACATAAACAACAATACTCTTTATATTGTCTTTGACCAACTTCAAAGAAGCTGCTTTGAACAGCAAAATATATAGTTGCTTTAGTGTCTTTTAGTGAGTGGCAAAGTAAGGAATTGGAGCAACGCATACTTTGAAACTTAGGAAAAGCTTCCACTCCGCAATCTAAGCAAAATTAAAATTCACCTTCTCCTCCAACAACGATGAATTGTTTTTATCTCCCGAGGTGCATGCTAATCCACTTTTACTCTTTAACTACATGCTATTTCTGCTCCACACAAGGAAGAATGAAAGCCAAGGTGGTCCGACCTCTCACTCTCCTACGGTAAATTCAAACTACATTAATTAACTAAGTATGGTTAAAATATATTCTGAAAACTTAAGTTCTTTCCAGCCCCATGCAGCCAGATTATTTTGAGATGTCATGTACACTAACTGCTATATGCATTGCCCACAGTTAGCTAGGGTTTGTTACGTGTCATCATGTAATTTGAGGCATCGCATTTATTGAATTTCGTAACTGATTTTTTCAAAAAATAATTATTTATATCTGATTAGTTTTATTAGCAAAAATAGTTTAAATTTAGTCTCTAATACACATAAAGTTGGAAAGCATTCCAAATATGTTTATATATGTAAGGAAGTCCTGCAAAATAACAACATAAATGTGAACCGTGGCAAAAAGTCCATAATTGAATTTGTAATTATGGAGAGAATAAAAAAGGGACCAAAAATCAACAAATGCAGTGTTGAAGTCCTACTGACTTTCGATTGAATAGAGACCAGAACCTTGACTTGGAGGGAGTTTTGCAGAAAAACAAAAGTATCTCCATTGGTGGCTTCAATTTGTGAACGCAGATTTAGACTTTCAGCTACGTACAATCAAGAATAAAAAAGAAAAGAAAAGGCTAGCTGAAGTTAGAATAATGGCAATAGCCCAATGATGTTATCCCATTCTGGATAAGTTTGCACGAGAGAAAGATGACACCTCCACCAAATAAATCTTGACTTCTCTCTCTCTCTCTCTCTCTCTCTCTCTCTCTCTCTCTCTCTCTCTCTCTATATATATATATATATATATATAATTGTATAAATGAATTTTGGTTCAAAAATAGAAAGAAGTGGGTTTATGATGTATTCCTGGCATCTAAATTTTGACGAAAAGCTACTGTAAGATACAGTTAAAGATGAAGGACCCTACCAACATGCATGATTTGTGTCGTATAATCGTCAAAGAGGTGGGATCTACAAGGTGATAAAGAGTCAAAAAGCACGCCTTCAGTAGGCCTCATGTGCAGCGATTTGGGTTGGAGAAAGTCTCTACACCTAAGGCTCCCTATGTAATCCCTACTGCTGAGAAAATTATTTCAGGAATCATATTGATGCCTTTCAATCATAAGGAGGTTCATTAGCCATCATATATTTTTTTTTAAGTTTTGAACCAAGCAATTTAGAGGTATCCTACTTTTGTTTAACCACCTAATCTTATACCCACAGATATAGATAGTAGTAGCATTTAAAGTAAAACGTATGATCATATCAAACGAAAAAAATACCTAAATCTCAAGCATGGATTTGTCACTTGATTAATACGTACGCCTTAGAGGAACCACGATTTGTAATGGTTCATCTGCTATATGTATTTTTTTCCTTAATCTCTCCAATGCACAATAAAAATATATTTTTCAACTAGCCTTTTACAGTTTGGAATTAATCATGTTAGATCATATTTATCCATATCTATCTATTTTGTTTGTTTATAAGATAAATCCGAAGCCTAGTAGCTAGTAGCCTGTAAAGATTAGAAATACATAAGCTATCAAAGGAGGATAAGATTTCAACCCAAAACCAAAACTACCTTACCCACTCTATTAACCTCTATAAGTTTTTATCTGCAAATAATTAATTAAGCAACAGTACGATGTTTTTTAAGGGCTACAGAAGCAATTTTTGACTTTCACCGGGCCATTCATTTACTTGGGCACAGATACTTGAAAATTTTTAAATTTTATTGGACAATTTGGAGGCAGGGAGGCAATGCTCCTGGAATCATGTTTCACTCGAGAAAAATGCTTGTCATTGAGAGCAACGGAAGAACCAAAGTCCAATACAACCCTTCTTTTTTGTTTTCACTAAAAAATGGGGACAATTTTTCCGCCTATCATGATATCCTAATATAGCAGTATGTGATTTTTTTTGGCCTTCAAGCCTGTTTTGAAAATACATGTCTGCCCATACAACCTAAAGCTTTATGCAATAGCTAGACGCACTTGACGAAACTATTGTAAAGATAAAGAAGGCCGTGCTACTTTTTTCCTCGTTTTAGGGAAAACTACATATTCACTCCTAATATATGTATGCTTCAATCTAGTCCTTTATGTTATCAAAGATGTGCAATTGACCCTCTTGCATAATTTGATTGACAAAAATGAAATTCCAACATTGAATATACACCCACCTTGAGTGCTCCCCTAGTTTACCAAAACAAATTAATCCACAAAGCAACCCTCCTAATTTAGCCGAAATTCCAATAATATTATATTTTCATGTAACTTACATGATACAACTTTTGATAACATCCTTAAAATAAGTGTTTTACAGGAAAATTTGAGGTACGTGAACTCCAAATACATACTCAATGCTGCAACTTTAATTTATTTATAGAAGAAATTCGAAGGGGAGTTGAATCACTATAGAAGCTATGCTAGTTGAAGGGTGACATTATTACAATTATAATTTCGAGCATTAAATTAAATTATCTTACATAAGTCAGGGATATATATGTAGTTTGTCTTCTTTTTTTTTTTTTTTAATTCAAAGTAATATTCCGGGTTCTGCTTTGCATGCTGTAGAGGAAAAGAATATACGCATCCAATACTTTTGAAAAAAAATTCCAAAGACAGGAATTCATTATTCAGGTGTCCCATTTGTTTTGGTCTTCCAATCCATAATTTTTATTCCTAGATAATTGACAGTATCCTTCCAAAGACGTGGGTCAAGCCCGTAGCAGGACATGTACCCAAACTAACAAGAACGTTCTTGTAATCTTCAATCAATTCTTCGTCACTTCAACATACAATCTTAAAAGGGTAACAATATATATATATATCTTAAAAATGGGGAGGATCGTGCTACCCAAATCTCATTAAGGCCTTTCTCTTAGATTTTGTAAGATTATCTAATAGCTTTAAGTACGACAGTAGGATTACGAAGTCCAAGTAGCTCTTTAGTGAAAGCTGGAAGCCGAGGACTGTAAAAACAGAACACTTCACAAGACATTAACTCACAAGTTGAGGGGCCCGAAGCGGGAAAGGGAAACAAGACATAATAAAAGCAGTAGTTGCTACTTTGCTAATAGCAGATGTTTTTGCTTTGCTTTACTAAATACTAATCCCCATGTCCGTCCTTGTCCATAAAAAGAAGATGCGCTCGCCTCTGGTGCCCGCATCAACCGGGAAGAATTTTCAGCTCTCCCAATTGGTTCCTCAGTTAATGCAATTAACTTTTGAATCTGACATACTTTGTGTACTTTTCCTTTCAATAAGCTTGTAAGTTGGACAATCCTTTATAGCCAAAATAAATGGTTAGTGTCATATTATGCACCAATTCCTTTTAAGGATCCAAATCATGTGTACCGGTTTTAATATTTTACGTAATTATCAAATTATTCAATTGATTGTGATTAATGATTTGAAATTACTTATATTTGTAATTTATAAATAGAATATTATACAAATAGCAATCATGGATATAATGGCAAAATGCATTATAAGTATATTAGTTTTTAATTTTTTTCAATCAAGTATATAAACTTTTTTTTTGTTTGTTTAAGTACTTTAATGTTTTAAAAATTATCAATCAAGTATTTACGTTAATTTTTCTGTTAAGCAATGATATGTCCGTTACCTCAAAAATATCAAATTATAATTTTATCTTTTTTTTCCTCAATCGAGTACATGGACTTTATTTTTTTTATTTGAGTATATTGATTTTTTCAAAACTATCAAGCAAGTACTTTGTTAACTCATGAATTTTTTGTTACCTTCACCATACTAAATTACAAATTTGCTCTCTTTTTTCATCTAAATAACTTTTCTCTTATTCTACTCTTTCAAAATTTGACAAAAAATTAAAATCTATATATTATATATTTTTAGCTATAAACCATGAACTAAACTCGGTTAATAGATTTATAGTGAAAATTAAAAAAAAAACACAAACGCAAAATTTTTAATCAAAAAAATTTATTGTTTATGAGCATTTGGGAGGAAAGTTTTCTCTAACAATAAGAGAATAAAATTATAATTTTGTATT